ACACACACACACACACACTCACGGGGCTCACTCTTCATCCTCAAGGTCAAGAGCTGCTGGTAGGTGGAGGCTCCTCATTGACAGCCTGATGGAGCTGACACCACGCGACCCATTGTACACACATTGATCTGTCCCCAGACGCGGCCTGACAGTACCACATAAGGCCAACGCCACACTAAACCGTCAATGCATTTCAATGAGAGGATCTCACCATTTATTGTTGTGTGTGTGTGGGAAAAGAAATGTAGTGTGTGATTTTAACAAAGCCCAACACATTTGCAGGCTGCCTCAGCTCTGTGGAGTATGTAATCCAAAACCAGGCCAATGATTATGTCCCCTCCCCACAAGTGCTGACTCAATTCTGATTTATGATTTGAATGCATATTGATTTTCCAGGATCTCTTTCCCCCACCCCTCTCTTCCTTTTCATTCCTCCTTTCAACAAAAGAGGGAATGATCTATGTGCATTGATTTCCAATCAGTTATTTTTATTCTTATTTTATTTAAGCCTGGACAAATTTTCAGTGGCTCCCGCAGAAAGCAACACGTCTCTATCAGAAGCACTGTACCTCATCGCTAACTGGCCTCGTGATGGCAAGTAGGAAATTATGAGCTGACTTTTATTTCTGAGTCTGTCACACCTGTTAAAACATTGTTGAGCCATATTTTTAACTGTGCTTTATTTCTGTGACACTCACAATGAAATAAAATTAATTAGCAGGTTAATTTCGCACTAATGTACCTAATTGCTTTCAGCACACATGACCAAAGATTTGATTTAGACAAGAGTAAAGTCTTTACTCTTCCTTTTTTTTTGGTGGTGGTAGTGGTGGTGGTGGTGGTGGTGATGGGGCTTCTGAGAAAAATACAGTGTCAGATTAAGTAAGAGAGCTAGTGACTGTTATTTCCAGGTGCCAGATATACATTTAATCAACATGTACTGCAGGTAGATAATTACCTAATTGGACTTGGTATTGGCAGATGTCCAAAATTTATTGTGCTTGGATTGATGCCAGTACATGAACATAGACTACTGTCATGGAAATATTTATAAAATATTGATAACACCAATGCAGATAACACTAATTATTGCCCCAGTATGCTTAATTACCCTTTACCTTTTAAATGACCTGGACCTATGTTCCCTTAAAGGTAAGACCATTAGCTCTGTAAAATAGGCAGTAGCCTATCCATGTGGATCTAAATGAAAACAATGAAACGTGAAGTGAGATATTTACTAAACATGTCTGAAATTACTATAAGAGGCACAAAATATTGCAGCACTGCAATTTTTCAATTTAGCTGCATATTTACCAACACTGATGTAGCCTAAATGAGCACAGCCGCAGCTTTATTGATGTGAATACATCACTTAGGATCTGGTGCCTGTACGCTGTTGCGCAAATGTGTAGACAAAATTAATTAATAAATTAATTTGTAATGTGTAAGTGCAATTTTTACAGTGACTTAACTTTAATATGGTTGAAGCAAAAACAATATTTTGTTACTGTGTTTTGCCAGTCATTTTTCATTTTGGTCTGTAACTGAAGGACAATGTGACCTAAAAGCCTGTACCAGTCCCTCACATTCTCCTCTGGTGAGTGATGTAATTTACAAACATACTCTCCCTCCTCAAATTTATCCTGAAGTCAGACAAGGTCTCTGATGAGTAACAGTTGCCATGCTGAGAACAGTACCTCAAACTTTACACCTGCTTACTCCTGATGTTAAATTTCAGCTGCAGCAACCCCTGTCACAGCCATGGTAAATCAGGCGCTGAGGGTATTATTATTATTATTGCTATTTTAATAAAATTCCATTCTCTCCTTCCATTATTTTGCACCCCTGAATGGGAACACCTTAAAAATCACCTTTCATGAGATCAAACATGCAAATTTCAATGGTGCCGCTTTTCTTTTTTTTCTGGTGCAAAACCCCATCATGTCTTCTTAACAAATACGGACATGCAATTTCACTACATAGTATGAAAAAATGAGCTGCAAACCCTTAGTAAATATGGCCCCTAAGTAGGCTATTTGTCTGTCTCCCTTTCTCTGACATGGACCATGTGCCTCACACAATGTGGGCTCGGGAACATAGAATTTGCACCTACAAATACTTGTGTTTTGTCTGCAACACACTGATAATGTGGATGGTTCAAAGTGGCACAGTTTAGTATTGACCGCAAACCATGTTTACAAAATACAAGTGACAGTTTGAAATGCAAATCATCTTTCCAATAACAAACATGAGATGCAACAATCAGCAGCAGAAATACATTACATTTAACATAAGAGATACTGCGATTTACACAGACTGTGTTTTACCTGTGTAGCCTACCTGTGGGTGACCAGCTGTAGGCCTACATGACACAAGCAGGGTACAGGATGGCCACAAACACTGGTGCATGCTGAGCAGTCACAACCCCCATGCACAGCTGATGTGTTCATTGTTGCTGATTGACATGCAAACCAGCACGAGTTCAGTGAACATTCAGTATGTTTTGGAATTGGTTTAACATTTATGAGGGGATGAACTTTTTAGCTGCTCTTACAAAGGTTCAAATTGTATAGTGACCTGGTGTAGTGGTATTACTGATATCTAACACCAAGAAGGTTACAGGTTCATATTCTCAGTTGATGTTTGCATCCCATATTTATTATTATTATTTTAACTCTTAAAATTATTACATATTTAAGTATATCCCTGTCAATGTAAAAGAACTCCAAATATCTGGCGGTAACCTTATTTGATTAAAAACTGTCTGAAATGAAGTTAATAAGGGGATGTACTTTTTTTGCTGGACAGATTTCAAACTGGTACAATGGTTAGGACATTTGCCTCAAAGCAACAAAGTTCTGGGTTCAACTCATGTTTTGTATCTTTCTCTACCGAATATTTCAAATTTTCATTGTAGCCATAATTAGTTATAGTCACTTACAAACATGATCGTCACATTGCAAGGTAGTGCAGTGGTTAGCACTCTCACTTTCCAGTGAGAAGGCTCTGTGTTATAGTTACTACACTTAATTATAGCTAGTTATGAAAACAACTACTCTCTGGTAATGCCTGTGCACATACAGAAAACTACGGGTCTACCATGGACCCAGAAACACACCTTAGAACGACTCATTGATAGAGTTGACAATGATGCATTAAAATGGGTCATCTTGTAATTGCACTTTCTTGTGGCTGCTGGCTGGGCTGAGATCACATAACCATGATAAAGTGGCAGATCTGGCCTTCCAAGATACTAAAAGCTGCCATACAGGACTCTACTGTCCATTCTCTAAATGCTTCATCTAAAAGACCAAATGAAGGAAGTGATACCCACTGCCCACTAATGCTCTGGCCAGACTGGACACTATACTCTGTTATTCATCAAACACTGTACAGTAACACTTAGCAGCTGCAGAAATGCATAAATATTGAGTGGGCATATTATTGTGCAATGCTAAGCCCTGCTTTTTGTTACATTTCACGTGGTAACAAGTTTTAGCAGGTCCTCTAAATGGACATGGACTCAATAAGTTCTACTCTTCAAAGCAAACTGTCGAGTGAGCCCTGGAGGCACATAATGAATAGCCCCATTAGTAAGATAAAGTCAAACTGGAATCCTTTGCTGTGCTAAGGAAGCTCTAGGCATCCCATCACCATATGACTAAATCAGATGCTATGGATGACAAATATATATGGCCTCACCACTCAGAGCAGCACAAAAGACATTCAGTTTTCTGAGTCAGCAACAAAAAAAATACTGCCACTAAAGACAATGTGACTCCTGTGTAGAAATGTTGTTTATCTCATCAGGCCATAGCGTGGCAAGTTTTAGTGCTACTTAGCACTGTGAACTTAAGTAACAGTAGCAGAAAGAGATGCTTCTGTGGCACATGAGAACATTTCCAAAGAGGAAATGATAAAAAAAACAAGTCAGTATGACATAATGTCAGTGTCAATTATGTGATGGAATGCTGCTGAAGTAAAGAGTCACCCATGAGAGAATACATTAGGGCATCACCAGACAATAGGGACAGTGTCAAAGTTTTTCTTTTTTAATGCTTATTAATGATTTAGAATCTAGGAATCTAAGCTTTGCTTTTAACTTCTATTTCATCCTTGAGATACATTTGGCAAAGGCTCTGAACACAAACATTTTACCAAATGTACATATAGTGACAAATTTTAATTTCCTAATGCAAAAGGCATGATGGGGGAAAATTTTTTGTTTAGTTTTTTGTTTCTCAAATATTTCATTTTAATTTTTTTTAGCATCACTTTAAGCCTCTAAAAATGCAGACCAAATCCTACAATTTTAGTATGAACTGCACTTCACTAAAATATGACATCTGATTAGTAATTCCAGTGTAAAATATTCTTTGGAATGATTCTGTGTTATGTATTACATGTTTAGTGTTTCAAAACAACCAAATGGTGGTAAAACAAATTTACTCTGGGGAACTTCTTAGGGATATGCATTCCTCTGCATGCTCTTTAAGTGCAAATTATGTGGGGGAAATTTTTATTTTAAACTAATAACAGAATGTTCTTGTCATTGATAAAGCGGTAGTCTACAGTATATTAAATATGTGTGCAATTGGCACAGTACCATCCTGCAGTTTATTAATAATAATGTCGCAAGACGTGGATTCAATAGGTGCAACTTTTAGCGACTGATATAACTGCACTTAACTACAGTTACAGATTCCGGTGATCCGACTCACTGCATGTTGCAAGTGCTACTTGTGACAAGGTTGCGTTCATAAACGGAAATAAGTTCCACAAAAAAGCAGCAAAACTGTTTCGACTCAAATGCGCGGTGCGGTGCGAAACATAGAACCGACAGAAAAGACTACAGAAAATAGAGCGCTGCAGCCTCTTATATACATGCCTATAAATAACCAGCCAATCAGCGGCGACCTCCTGGGACTTCCACGCACCAATTAAAACGGAGAACGAACCAAATGAAGTCAGACGTTTTCTGCGATTGGTCAGCTGTAATATTATTTCCACGAGTTTACGCTACTCGCTTCTGATTGGCTGATGCTCTGCAGACGAACCCCGCCGTGAGAAAGGGGGGTGGCGACCAGGTTTGAATAGGGATGCTTGCAGCGCTGTTTCCCGAGCCAGTCAGTGCAGTGTAGTGTTTGCAAACAGTGTCAGAACAAGCTAGAGACGAATCAAGGGGGAATCAGACGGAGGGGACGCTCACCTCCTGCTATCGCTGCTGAAAACAGACGCTTTTTGTTTGCATCGCAGGGATCGCTCTTTTTTCTTTAACCTGGTATTTTTTTTCACTTGAAAAGATATATAAGTGCCGCTAACCAGGCTTTAAAAAAAAAAAAGCTCGGGGAAAATGGATGTTCTACCCATGTGCAGCATCTTTCAAGAACTTCAGATAGTTCACGACACGGGCTATTTCTCAGCCTTACCGTCACTGGAGGAGTATTGGCAGCAGGTGAATATCTTTATTTACTTTGGGCTGTTGTTTTAACTCGTAGTGTGACAAAGCGGAACTGTGCAGCTTTTAGTCTTTTGGTGTAACGTTACAGATTACGACGCCTTGTTCAGCTTCAGAAGTTTGAAATCTCATCGTAACGGTTGTAAACACAGGTGCCCGCTACTTAGAGGGGTCCGTCCATTGACGTGCTAGTTCATAATCACTGAGGGAGTTTTTGACAGGCTGAAGTGGATCAGTGGATCAGTCTGACAGCTAGGTTCAGATTCAGCTAGATCTTCTACGCCAAGGAGCTCAGGAGAAGCGTGCTGGTGCTTTAACATGACTTCTTTAAACTGATCATGAGTATGGTTAAAATGAGCTGTTAGAGGAAGCAGAATTTCAAATCAGCAAATCGCATGTGTGTTGACTCATGATAATCTCTGTACTGTAGCTATTAACTAGTGAATATGGTGTTTATATAATATAATTGTGTGCTTTGGCGCATTATGAACATTTAACGTGTTCTAGTGTTTCAGCTTGTTATTTTCTTACCCCATATTAAGGAATTTAACAGTGGCCCACTCTCAGCCTTTTTCTTTTTCTGCTTCGTTTATATTCACTAGAAAAATCCATTTACTTCACTGAGTGATTTCATTGCGCTCCTCAACATGACACTGTCAAATGTCAGTCCTATCCTTCTTGCATGGGTAGACAGCAGCACAATCAGGAAATATCATGCTGCAATAAGCCTAGAGGAAATATTTATTCTACCTCTGCCTTGTCAAAGCTGCTGTCTCCAAGCGTCTTCTAATGAACAGCTTTTGGTTTTCAACTTTAATGGCCTCTGAAGTATATTGGAGCTGTTGTATCTTTTACAACCATGGCTTGAGTGGCTGACATTGAGGAAGGATGTGATTGCATGTCAGAAGTACACATGAGGAAGAGCAGCTGAATGGCTCAGCTTGGAGGGGGAAGTTGAGCGGTTTCCTTTAAAGGACTCTAAATTTACTCAGTGAGTCATATGAGTGCAGGCTGTGTGTTCAGGCTCAGCTCAGCTCTCCTGTGCTCAGGTGTTCACGTGAAGGTGAGGTCACTGGTAGGCTACATGATGCTTTGAGATCATGATGTGAGGGAGGATGAGTTGCCAAGTAAACCCATAATTATTGTATTCAGAATCAAGAATGCAAATGCAGTTGGTTGGATATATTTATTATCAGCAAATCTCCAGATGATTTTAAATATGTAAACATCAGACAGTAGTGAAAAGCATCCAAACCAACTTCTCAAAGCCCAAAGGGATGTTTAGTTTTCTCTAATCAAGTGTCCAAGATAAATAAATATATAAAACCTAAAAATAACCATCATAAGATAGAAGCAAACAGCAAAGTCCTCATACCTGTGGGACCAGAACGTTATTGGCATTTGTGCTAGAAAAACAACTAGATTATTAACTTTCTTTGACTGACTAATCATTGCAGGTCTAATATATGATACAATAAAGATGAGTCCAGGAACAGCTGAAGTGTGCTACAGTAAACATTTAACAAATAATGCATTTTGGGGAATGTGCACATACATCAGTTAAAAGCATTTTTCTGGTGTGAATGAACATCCTCACTTCAGAGGTGCTGTGGTAATTTACTTATTATCAACGTATGCTTTCATTCAACCAGACATGCTTGGAGCTGGAGCGCTACCTGCAGAGCGAGCCTTATGTTGCTACATCTGACCTCAAGTTCGATGGTCAGGAGGACCTCTGGAGCAAGCTGATCTTGGCCTGTGGGGATAAGGCCAAGGCTGACCCAAAGCTGCCCCTAGCCCACAAGGAGGACAATCAGGATAGCCAAATCTTGGACACCATCAGTGTGAATTCAGATGCCAGCAGCGAGGCTTCAGACAGTTCTGAGGAGCTTTCGCCCATACACAGCTTTACCTCCAATCCTCTGGGCTCTGTCTTGGCTGACTCTGGACCTTTTAGTCCCTCCGCCATTAGCACCCCCCCATCCTCTCCAGAGGCTAACTCAGAGCCTGGCGGCGTTACAGATGGCTGGGTCGCCACGCATGCCGAGATGCATTCGCCAGTCAAAATCAGGAGCGGCGGGGTGGTGAAGAGTTCAGAAAAGATGGGACTCATCTGTGGGGATGCGTCTCCAGACAGCAGGAGGCGAGTACACAGGTGTCAATTCAATGGGTGTCGCAAAGTTTACACAAAGAGCTCCCACCTTAAAGCACACCAGCGTACTCATACAGGTGAGTTCAGAGTCAGAACACATTCAGAATAGAACGTCACAACCAGAGTTGGCTGAGTTCCTATAAACACAAAACTGATGAGAGAGATTAATGGTCTTCTATGCAAAAGCAGTATTCACAGTTTAAAAAAATCTCTGTTTTTATTTCTTTAAGGACAGATGTGCTGTCAATTCTGTGCTCAGTCTTCCACCCTAATACCATTTCCGTCCATTGCGTAATATAATTAAAAGCCCACAATGCATGATACTTTCAGCTGGGGTGTTGTATTAGCTCCACATGGCTGGATACCAAAACTGTGACCTAATCTATCTGGAATGTGACCAAACTAGTGAGTGAAGGGGGTTGCACTTGGGAGATAAAAGGACTTCAATACAGATTGAGTTTCACCATGGGAAAGGAGTGAATGGGTGGGGAGCCATGGGTCACTGGGTTTGAAGGCGTTTCTCATTTTTGATTAGCACCGTGAAATTGTACTTGTGGGCTTTTTTTTTAAATATTTATATATGTTGTATATGACACAGAATTTCACTGAAGTGCTTTTAGCATTCCTAGCATGTTTTAAGTTGCATAAAAACAGAGCTGCAGGTTCAGTGGAAAACTGGGTCTTGAGAGGCCTGTTACACATGCTTGGAATATCTATGTCATCTGTCCTGGCCCCCAGGGTGATTTGAATGTATTTAAATAATAACAGCGCAGAGCCAACCAATCCTTGCTCGAGTAGCAAACGCTTTGCATTCCTTTTGTGCTTGTGCCCAAATTTGAACTCTGTTAATCATTCTGCAGGTGAGAAACCATACAGGTGTTCATGGGAGGGCTGTGAGTGGCGTTTTGCAAGAAGTGACGAGTTGACAAGGCACTTCAGGAAGCACACCGGGGCAAAGCCATTTAAATGCAGTCACTGTGACAGGTAAGAGAAGCTGTTTATCTGCAAATAACAGTTTTTTAATAAATATGTCTCTTTCGCACAGAGCTGAAGCATGAAATTCATGTTGGCATCATCTACTTTTCTTGTAGCATTTTTAAATAGTGAAAGCTCAGATGTTTATATTCACGTAGCTTAAAATTAAGACCTAGACTGATTAATCAATGCTGTATTTTTGGCCAGTCTTCAAACTGTCATCATTCTGTAGTTCAACTCTAAACTGTGCCTCCCAGTACATCTCTTGTGCACAAAATATTGTATGTGTAAAGAAAACCAAAACAAAGATTGGCCAATAATGTCATTGTCAGATTTTTAAGCCTTCAAATATCAGTGTTGATATTTTCCAAAAATTCAGTAATGGTCAGGCTACATTTACAAGTCAGTATTTCAGCTGTTAAATTTACCACTTAGTATCTTGAAGAAGTTTAAAAAAATGTAAGTATTTGGAAAAAAGTTATATTCTGTAATATATTGTTATTGGTAGAGATGCACCGATCGATTGGCAGAGATCGGGAATGGCCGGTTTTCAGCGTGAGCGGCCAATCACTCTGAGATATCGCATTCTGTCCCATTCAGATTTAGAGGCGCGACAGTTCATGTCACACACGCAGTGGCACAGACCAATAGTGTAGTGTGCGCAACACGTAGCATCTCATGTGCACCTCAAGTGAGACTCATGCTCATGTCCGTACTGGGTGTGTTCACTCGTGCGGTGGAAGCACTTGGTGAACAAAAAAGTGTACAGAGGCGGCTACAGAAACACCTTGGAGAATAGAAAACTACATCCAGCACTGACAAATAGTACCCAGTGAGGGAATTACTGGCCACACATGAAATGCATGTATATGTACAGTGTGTACAACCCCTGGTGAAACACAGCAAATACAAACTACAGTACACACACTTCAATAAGAACTGTGTGCTCAGTAGAACCAGACATTCTGTGTCTATTACTTGTTGCATGTGTTTATATTTGGAGAAATAAAAATACTGCACTTCATTTTTAGTTGCAGATTTGTAAGGAAACAAAAGAGTGAGGGAAAGACAGAAAATGTTAAACTTTATTAAAGTGTTTTGCTTTTCATTAAAGAAAAGTTACAGATACATCTATGTATCCTGTCAGTTACAGTTCTTAGAAAGAAAAAGTCAGAATCTGCAAGTCAAAGTCTGAAATCCAAATCAGCCAAGAAAATTACAGTCTGTGAATCTCTAGTTGCTTAATGTTATAAACGCCTGAATACTGACATCAGTAGCGGGTTCAAAAATATCTTTATTATTCTGTAAGATTATTATTATTCAGTTCAAGTAAATCAGTATATGATCTCACACATGCTTTGTCATTTGTGTACCTGAGGTTTGTGTGAAAGACTGAAGTTAATGCTCAGCTCTCTCACTCCTCTCACCTGTTTTGTGCTCTTGTCCCTGAAAATGTAAGAAGAGGAGCTACTTAACACACAACACGAGAATCTTTGCATAATTTGTGCTTCACGTGTCAGAGATGTCACATAAAAAGACTTCTGACTTGTACCTAATTGACTTGCATTTGTGAACATTAAGTCTTTCAACAGTTCTGTGGGAGGAAAGTTACGGTTTTATGACCCTTTGTAATCCTTTAACACACCCAGACAGTGTTGCAGATGGCCTGTAAGTTAACCTGGAGTTAGTGTAATATTACATTCATGTCACTGCTGCTGCTGTAATGTCATGTGCACTGTCTAACAATGTAAACCTATTCTTGAATGCATTTCTGGCCCATGCTTCTTTGCTAAACTGAAAACCACTTAGCCTGTGTGATAATAGATGCGGTGCTGATAATGTTGCCAGTTATACACTTGTCAGTGTATTAGATACACCAAGCTAAAACTAATGCAGGATAATACAAGGTCATCAGTTAGTGTTCAGACTGTTTTAGAGAGGTGTTGATTCATCAGTGTGATCATTTTGGAGGATTATGCTGTACTGTGTTGCACAGGGTGGTGCTTCTGCTATTTACCCTAGCCCTTAGATATAAATGGGGTGGACAAAGTAAATTATAGAAATGCCTTGTAACAATGCAATTCAGCAGCAGCACAAACTCCAGCCTGCAAAGTGATCAGAAAATTAGATCAACATCTCTCTGAGAGAGTTTGAACACAAACTGATAATTAACACCTTCAAGAAGGAGGATTTATTACAGGTGTGTTGTATTTGAATGTAGTAGTTTTAGCTTGGTGTACCTAATAAACTAAGTGCGGGGTGATGAAGCCAAGTGACATATCTGAATGTGTTGCATTCCACCTCCAGTTTGCCTTAGAAGTAATACGCTCTGTATTTACTGTAGATTCAGTTTCCATATTTATCTGCAGGTTCACAGAATTCAACAATGAGAAAGTTAGATGGGTCTGTGTCAGCTCAGAGGGACAAAGTATTAATTATTTAGTTAAATTCAAAATGAGAAAATACTCTTGGAAAAGATATAATGCCAGTGCATTTTCTTAGTATTTACAGCAGTGGCAAGTACTGACCCACCAAAATCTCTTTATGTACTGGCCCTACCTGTCACATTACCTAGTCACACCTGCTACTCCTTGCTCCTTCATTTCTCTGTAACATTTTTACATGTGCTAGGAGAGAGGCTTCCAGCAGAATGTGAGGGTGTTGATGCCTTCTAAGACACGTTTATTTTGAAGTTGCAACCATTGAAAAAAACTCGTAACGCTTTAAAATTTGGTTGCAAAATGCACCCGATCATTCGCTGTCTGGAGCCCAGTTCTTTCGTCCATGAACTAAAACAGCTCATTCATCACTTTGTTGTTGCATTGACATCTTTTCTCCCCTCCTTCCCCAGATGTTTCTCTAGGTCCGACCATCTGGCTCTTCACATGAAGAGGCACATCTAGAGCAGGGCAAGAACCAACCAAGCAAGAAAAAAGCAAACGCTGTCTCCCTGACCAGTCTCTTGGTCAAACTGTCCCAGGGCAGAGTGGCGGGAGTGTGTTCCAGCCAAAGCATGCCGTTTTGCACCATACTGAATTCCAGTGCCTCCGGGACCTCTCTTTGAAGAAGGACGCTCTGAAGGTTGTCTGTTGCAACAAGGACAAAATCGTGAATGGGGGCGTTTTTTTTTTTGTTTTTGTTTTTTTGTCTGAAAAGAACTTACACAAAAAATGTAAAAGATACACAAACATAAAAGAATGAATGGTTTGTATGTATGATGCATGATGTTTTGGGGACACCTCCCTGACAGCAGATACACTGGTACTTCTGAGGTAAGCATGTGTGCACTGTGAATGTCTGAGACTGGCTCACTGGTTCCCCAGAAAGAGAGAAGAAGAAAGGACTTTTGGGAGAAGAAACAGATTGATGGATGGTGCGAGGTTGGTGCCAGTGTTGCTGAGGCCTGACTGGGTTTCTGGGGTAAACATTCCACTTGTGTATCCCTGGCGGCAGTGAGACGATGAGGCAGGGAGGAAGTTCCTGCCTGTCTGTCTGGCACCCAGACTGGGGAAGGGGGGATTCTCCCACGCTTGTGAGGCCTTGGGTTTGAACAGCGAGAAAGAGTTGATGTGTCACTCTCTCGCCTGTGACCCAGGGACCAAACCCAACCCTGTCTACAGCATAACAAAGGTTTTTTTTTTTTTTTTTTTTTTTTTTTTTGTGTTATTGGTGCAGCTACTAAATGTGCAATGTGTTATGTAGCCTGGTGAATTATTTTTTTACAAGCTACAAAGCTCATTTGTAGTCAAATTGTATAAGCTGTGTGCTTAGAAGTATTACACAACTATACTATAACTTCAGTATCATAGACAGGTGTTGCATGGTTCTAGGGTTTGTTCACTTCCTGTTTCCACTGTATACAGGACTGCAAATAGTTTCAATAAAAGTGCAGCTAAAATGCGATCAGTTAAATGTTACAATATTGTACATAAAGTCTTGATAATTTTCTTTTAGTTTTACAACTTCATCCATTTCCTTCATAATGGTTTTTCATCTGTTTGGAGAGTTCTCCACTGCTTGCCAGTTTTTAAAGTCTTTTTTTGCATCCATCCTATGCCTTGAAGACTGATTTTCATTTTTGTACGTTATTTCCAATCTAATAATGCACTGTTGACCTTAATGGTGCCTTATGCAAGTGACTCAGTCCTGTGGTAGCGGTGGTTTTGCTCCCCTTGTGAAGTCACATTTGTTGTATGGGTGATTTGACAAGCTTGATAAAGGCTCACTTACAAAGTAACTTGCACATCTTTGTGTTTAATGAAAGTTGCCTGGATCTGTTCTGATGGCTAATTATGAATTTGTTTTGTTATTGTATATCACCTTCAACTGAGTCTTAACATATCAATAAGACAAATGCTGTATGTTTAGAACACTTAAATGAATTAAAAATGCTAGCTATATGTTGAGTCTATCACAGCTCTAAGATACCTAAAGAAAAATACATCACAATCACCGCTGCCATCCATTGCCCCATCCCTCTGTTCTCTCAAGTGTGACAGAAAAAAGCTAAAGATTTATTGTAATTAACCGGCTGCAGTCGGACAGGCCTTGCCTTGTGTTGCCTCTCAGTAATGAATTGCTAAAGGCTTATTTGGCATGGAATCTGTCACAGACTGCTGACTGTGTAGGTTGGATATTGACGCGTCTGGGGAGTATTGTTTTAGCTGAACTGCAACAGTGTTATGAAAACCACGGGAGCTCCTGGGAGGAGATAAAGATCAAGCAGCAAGCAAGCAAGGTACACAGAAATTTGGCCCATGACAGTATCTCCTCTCAAACATTTGTTACTGGGTATAGATGGTGACGGATACTGGACAAAAGGTGGCAACTGAAATGTAGCGACTATACTTAGTATTGCTTCAGGATGAAGTGGTCAGCACCACCCACCCTAGATCATGCAACCTTTTTGCGGGATGGTGCATAGCATGCTACAACATGTGGATTTCAAATCAGGAAGATACAGGATGAGTACAAACTGCTTGCTGTGATAGCTCTGGATGAGCTGGCAATGCCTTTTATGGGCAAAGAGAAGCGACATCCGTACAGTTCAAGTTGTAACTGAGCCTAGATTTAGACATGTTTGCTCACATCTTTCTGCTTTTCATCATTAGTTTTATCCTGCTATCCCAACATTTCTATCACACACAGCTCTTTCTTCTCAGCTAAATCTTTATATAAAAAGCTGAAAAAAATTTTGTAAAATTGTTATGTATGCTTTATGAAATTTTTATTTGAAATTGTTTTGCAAAATTGTTATATTTCTGAATGAATGTATTTTTTATTGGAAAAATAAGAAATTCTTATTTGACTTTGACTTGCTTCCTTTGTCTCATTTGTTAATTCTCCTCAGTTATGCTTCATTAGTTTGAAAGCTTTTTGCATGAGGGAGGTTTGAAGCTTGGTGAGAATGAATGTCTACATTCATCTGAATCCTGCTGTCCAGTAATATGGACAACATTGGATTGGGGCCAGGGTGTGACCACCAGTTTGTTACTTAAAAGATGAATTAGAACCACGTCTTACAAACACCTCATGGAGTGGAGAGTTAAACAGCCTGACTTTCTGCTCTTCACCTCTTCCTAACTTGTAAATGCCAACATGAAGATATTTCTCAAATGAGAACATTTTGATCAACTAGGTGCTAAACACAGAAACCTAATATGCACCTTGCTCTCGGTGGCATATATTCAGATTTTTCTTTTCTTTACCCCAAATAGCCTTTGGAAAGGCTTCTGTAAAATCTCTGCAGCGGGTTCAGTTAAAAAAAAACGACTGCTCATTCCTTAAAGCTAGCTCACTTCAATCAAAGCAGTTTCAATGATTTAGCTTTTTCAGCCTAGGGCATTTACTTAGAGAGCTGCTTTTATATATTTGTTAACTAATTGCTGATATGTTGGAGTGATCCCTGCTGTTTCCTGTTCCTGTCGTAAACGTATTCACTTCCTGTTTGCTGTGCCTGCTACCAGTTTACAGATTAAGCTCACTAATTTAAAATCCTTCTCCTAACTTACAAAGCCCTTAATGACAAGGCTCCATCATCTTAAATACCTCATAGTGCTTTATCATCCTAACAAAGCACTTCGCTCTCAGAGTGCAGGTTTACTTGTGGTTCCCAGAATCCACAGAAGTAGAATAGGAGGCAGAGCCTTTAGCTATCAGGCTCCTCTTCTATGCAGCCAGCTCCCAGTCTCAGTTCAGGAGGCGTGTCCTCTCACTCTCCCTGTGCCCTTCTACGGGTATCCCTGGCTCAGGAGCTGTACATTTCTGATGCGCACTCACCAGCCACATCGACCTGCCCAGTGGTTGACTGTTTGTTGTGTCTTGTTGATTTTCCTTTCTTTTCTCTCTGCTTTATCTACTCACAAGGCAGAAGGCCACCCACCAAGAGCTAGGGTCTGTTGGAGGTTTCTTCTGTTAAAGGAAGTTTCTCCTCCCTGCTGTCGTCAAGGGGAATTTGTTGGGTTTTTCCTCAATAATAATAACAATAATAATAATAATAATAATAATAATAATAATAATAATGATAATGATAGTAAGGTCTAGACCTTACTTTGTAAAGTGTCCTGAGACGACTTTTTTTGTGATTTGGCACTATACAAACAAAATTGAATTGAATTGAACTTGACACAGATAATGACACAAAGCAGCAATGAATATACAAAAGCTTTAAGTTACAAAAAACAACAGCAACAAGCTTGTGAAGACCTCTAATAGGCAGGCAACTTATTGGCTCATCTGAACACCAGTAAAAGCCCTGTGGTTTATAAATCACTCTTTGTCTGCCCTTGGTAATTAAGCTTGCTCTGAAGAACTTAAGAGTGGGGGAGAATGTTGTTCTGCTTCAAGCACTGCAGTGCCTTGATCTCTCAAAAATGCTGCCTCACTTGATTTGTTAATGTCAGATCAACAGTTGATGCATAATGCATGGAAAAAGAACAACACAATCAGCAAAGAAGCATTATGATCTCTACTAGTCACTTGACCTGTCATAAAGAGAGTCCTGAAAGCTCAGATTCTTGTTTCTAACCTCTTAAGACTGAGGCAGGCACATGTTGCATCTATTGTAGTTTCCATGCAGCTTACTCACATCCTTGCAACATCCTCTTGTGAAGCAGACCATTATGAATAAACTTCCTCATAAATGTGAGACTAATATTCCATGTTTCCTTTCATGTATCCAGGGTACACATCCTCCATATGCTTTCCCCCACCGATATCCTAGTAAGTCAGTTTAAAACCCACTGGATTACTGAAAAGAAATCATCACTTTAGATGTCTTAGGGTTTCAGGCAAGTATATAAGGTGTAGGATGTGGCCCATGACACTGTCATGGCTTGGAAAGGTTTTTTAAGGAGGACATGTAACAGACTGGACCCGGTCCTAGCTGACACTGGGTAAAAGGCAGGGTACGCCCTGGACAGATCCCCAGTCGATCAGAGACACAGACAGCCATTGACATTCACATTCACACCTACAGGCAGTGTTACTGTAGAGTTGTCTCTTACGTAACTTAACCTGCGTGTCTTTGGATTGTAGGAGGAAGCCAGAGAAAACCCATGCAGGCGCAGGGACAACATGTAAACTCCACACAGAAAGGTCCCGGTTGACTGTGAGGTTCTGGACTGTATGGAAATGTCTGGGGTGCTGAGTTGGGCTGACCCTTATGTTCACTTTGTATGAAAGCAGTGCTTTCCCCAAATTATTCATCTTTAGTTTGAAACCTTCTCTTAATTTAAAGAAACTTGCCACGAGCTCCCAACAGCCCACCACCAACCCACACACACAATATTTGGTAAAGGGACTTATGCTTGTATAGCACTTTTCTATGCATTGCAGCACACTCAAAGTGCTTTCATGCTATCTGCCCATTCACCCAATAATGATATCACTGGGAGCAACTTTGACGCATGAACTGGAGAAGCTAGGAATTGAACGGCCAACCTTCTGGTTAGGAGCCGGCTCGCTTGAGCCACAGTTGCCCACAATATTTCAAAATAATATAACAGTGTTAAACTGCTAGAACTTGTTTAACACTGTTCTGTAATTTAAACCTTAATCTCTTAACAGATCACCAGTCTACACAACAACAGGGACATTGCTAGACACATTGGTGCCATTGATGAGATGTTCCATTGGCAGGCCTGGGGGGACTCAGATGACTGCCTAGCTGGCCTATGCTTAAAATGCCCCAGATCATTAAAAAACCCTGATACAGAGACAGAACTTTCAGCACATTCTCATCCCAGGGTTAAATACTGACAAGTACCTTTGGAATTTCATAAAAATGCTACATGATACCTTTGGTGTCTTTATGAGATGCACAGGGTTTTCAACAGACACCTCTGTAACCCCACTCACTTCAGTATGACAAGCCAAAGGTACTTGACAAAACATCATTACCTGCTTGGCATTAAGCACAAAAACGACATGGTCAGGTTTAGGAAATGATTCGGGCATGGGTTAAAACATTATTAAAACCATATTATTAAAACACATAATAAATGGTAACACCCATAAGCCATCCCATACTTGACTGGTAAGACATTTAATTTCTGTGATTCTTTACATCATATAAGTATTGACTCAAATATATTTACTGTGTATT